CACTAACTTGTGCTACAGGGAGTCTCAATGGTATGAACTCTGGAAATGCCATCTCTCTTGGAGTTCTGAATACACTGCACCCAAACTAATTTCCTACTATAGCGTGAATACCCAATCTGTCCATCTTGATAGGGAGACTGTACTCCTTGTAATCACTTGGATGGAGGAAAGGGTGGGCTGGAGTCAAGAGATGGATTAATGATGGCTCTCAGGTTTTTAGGCTAAGCAATTAGATAAATAATCTACTGAGCTTGTGGGAGGAACAAATTACATTAGAGTAACAATAAGTTCAAGATGTCTGTGAGAAACCCTAAGTGTGGTATGAAGTGGATAGTTGAATAAGAATCTTCAGCTCAGACAAAACACCACCTACTATGGAAAATGGAAGTCATATGGCTCCTGTTACCATTTCTTGGTAGCCAGGGCATGGATAAATTATTGAACCTCCTCCAATTAGTGTTTCCATTTTGAATTTTGAGACCTCAGGGAGTGAGACAGGAACATAGGAACAGCTGCTCTTCAAACAAATTGAATCATGGATTAATTTCCTCTTTTACCCTGTAAACCCTTCCTTTTGCACTTAGAATTGAATGTAAATGCTGCAACTCAAGTCTACAAGGTACCACCTAACTTAGTACTCATTTAAAATAATGATATCAGGGCACCTGGGTGGCTCAGTCAGTTAAACATCTGCCTTTGGCTCAGGTCATGATCCCAGCCTGCCAGGGTCCTGGGATGGAGTGCCAAGACAGCTCTTGGCTCACCGCCGAACCTGCTTCCTCCTCTCCCCGCTGCTTGTGCTCTCTCTCACTATTTCTCTCTCAAATAAATAAATATTTTAAACTTTTAAAACTTTTTAAATTAAATAAATAAAATGATATCAAACACATATCAAGTGCCAGGCACCGTTTTAACTACTTATGACTCTATTTCATCATGACAACAACTGATGATGTACATTATCCTCTCTCCTTCACAGGAAGCATGGAGGAGTAAGTAACCTATCTAAGGTTACATGGGTCGTGATAAGTTGAGTCATATTTGAACCTAGGCTGACTGGCTCCAGAATCTGGTCTGTCATCTACTGCACTGTTTTCTATGACCATTCTGTCTTGCCAGAAAAGGGAGAAGTGCTCTGGACTTCTAAAATGTCTTATAGTTCTAGCTCTATGATTTTACTCAAGTGTTTTCTTTATAAGCAGTTTCTCCAGTTCTGCAATTGCAATGTTTTAGGAATTTTATAATAAACTAAAATGACCATCTAATTTAATCTAGGGAAATGACCTAGATTCTTATTTTTAATCTGCTTTCATTCTATTCTATTCTCCAATAGATCCTCTGCCATACCTATTAACTCAGGGAAAGGACAAAAGATAAAGCACCCTGTGTTTGTAGCTTCTATTGCTATTGTATTCACAAGTAAAATCCAACAATCACTTTGTCTTACCAAAATTTGCTGTGAAATTCTCTCTCCCATTTAAAATATGTATTAAACAAGTACTGTAAAATGTTTTAACGAATCTCTAGAAAATATCTGGGTGCCCAATTTTTCATGTAAGAATCAAAATAATGAACACAATAGTGAATGAATGTTACATGAACCTAGAACTAAAGTTGATTTTTCCTGATAATTATATTAGACTATAGTCTATTTTGGAGAATGGCCCAGTTAAAAAATAAATTAAATATAATTCATTTGCAGTATCTGTTCTTCAGTTATGCTGAGTCCACTGATATGCTTCAAATTTCACATCTTTGTTGTTCTTGTCAGAATATTTTTAACAATTATTCATCCTCAGCCTAAACACTTGGTTGTGAAATTAAAATTGCCATTAAAGTTGCTTATGACTACTTGTGGCTATTTCTGTTTTCCTCAGTCATTATATACATACACTTCATATTCCCTGGAAATAGTTCTACTCTTGAATATAACTACATTTAAATAGGTCCGTTATAATTAAAGCAAAGAGACTATGATTCATATTTGCTCTTAACATGCATCTGATGGTGAAACAGAAGAGTATGCATTATTTGATAAACACTTTTCCAGGTTCTAAGATCCTGGCAGACATCAAAATGATGAGGCGGCCAGTGGGTCCTTGTTTCCTCACTATCTCATTGTACTCTATCTAGAACTGAATCGAAAAGACACCTCGACAGCAACAGCCACATGGAAGAGCAGGCATGGAAGGCTTGGACAGGCCTTGGAAAAACTGCAAAGGCCTTAATACCACAACCATTCCTTTCTTCATAACTTTCCTTAACTTCTAATCTCAGCTCTCCCAATGTGTCCCTGTGTCCTTGGCTACCTTGGGCCCCACCCTTCTTGAGAAAACTGCCATACAGTGGAATTCACTCAAAGGCGTTAGTAAGCTAATGTGTTACCTCACCTTGGGAAATCTGCCATCTAAAAGAGGAACCTGAAGAGGACAATGCCAGGCCCCAACATAATGAGTTACTTGTAACAGGTTTAAAGCATGACTATGGGAAGTATCAAGTGGTTTTGGAGGAAGCCCCTCCTGCTCTCTTTCAAACCACTTCACTGCCTGTTTTTACTTATATTTGGCACAAAAGTTTAAGCACAGTTGGCCACAAGCAGTTTTCAGAACTAGAAGGAAACTCATTCTCATCACTTTGGAAAATGCTTTTAGATTCCAAATATTGTCAAATTGTGGAGTTCAAAGCAGTCCCAGAGAAAACTTTTTCATCTATGAAACTATCAGACTAGATAATTTCTAAAATCCTTTAAGTTTACACATTTTTGAATTTTACACATTTTTCATATTATCTATTCAATTACTTCATTTGACAGATGAGGAGAGTGATACCTCCAGATCTGAATCCATCCAGTCCTTTTCTCTCAGCTTCGTATTATCCTGTCCACGTGCCCCATAGCTATTGCAATGGTGTAAGTTCTCATAAGTAAACTGATGTACTTACATAATGTATATTGTGGGTTGAGCCAAGAATTTCCTAAATATAATCAATCACGTAGCTGTCTAATCCATCCATCCCCAGCACTGTCTATCCATAGGCTGTATTTTTTTAATATTTCATTTATTTATTCATGAGACACACAGAGAGAGGCAGAGACATAGGCAGAGGGGGAAGCAGGCTCCCTGCAGGGAACCCGATGCTGGACTCAATCCCAGGACCCTGGGAGCATGACCTGAGCCAAAGGCAGACACTCAACTACTGAGCCACCCAGATGCCCCCATAGGCTGTATTTCTCAAATATAAATCTAAACATGTCCTTTCCTTGCTTAAGAGTCTTCAGTTTCCCCAACTGCATTTAGAATAAAATTAACATGGCACAGGAAGTTAGTGATCTAAACTTTGTGTCCTTTCCAGCCGTTCTCACACTCCTTCTATCTCCTGCCATACAAGACTTCTTACCAGCCCCTGAGCACAGCATGCAGGCTCCTGTGCCCCTGCCTCTGCCCATGCTGTTCCCAGTGTCTTTCCTTCCCTCTACCTTTTCTACTTCTCATCTGGTTCACTCCATGGTCCTTCTAGAGTAAAGCAGAGATAAAGGGTAATTCAGGAACACTGCAATGTATGCTTCCTGTAATATTTATGGCTATCCAATTCTGCTGAAGAGAACAGATGACACAGTATAGAAATAAGACAAAGAAAATAGATGACACTGGGACACCTGGGTGGCTCAGGGTGAGGTCCCAGAGTCCCAGGACCAAGTGCCACATTGGGCTCCCTGAATAGAGGCTGCTTCTCCCTCTACCTATGTCTCTGCCTCTCTCGTGTGTCTCTCATGAATAAATAAATAAAATCTTTAGAAAAAGAGAGATGATAGAAAATATGGAAAGAAGTAACCTCTAAGATATCTTAGATATCACTAAAGTGAATAGGAAGGGACAGAAAGACTATGTAAGCATCAAATAGTCATGAGGCTCTCAGGGAATCCCATAATCATGAGGTCTTAGGCTTCCTTTTGGTAACATCCTACCTGGCCCATTTGTTCTCTGGCCCAGATAGAAAGATAAAATCTGTAACTGCTCAGAGGCTGTGTTAAGTCCCAAGACAAAAGTATTTGCCTTCTGTAATAGAGCAAGGTTATTTTACCTTCAAGCATCCTCCAACATTGCTCACCCTTACTTTGGACCTCTTAACCATACCATCAGCAAGGAAAGCTGATGGAAGGACAGAGAGGAAAAGAGAGAGAATGATGTGAACTCATGTACTCCAGGATTTGGGTAGCATGGCCCTGCCTGCCTGTTTGCAACCTATTCTAGTATATTAACCTACTCTATTTCCTTTTCTTGCTGTATATTTTATTTTTTTAAGATTTTATTTAATTATTCATAAGAGACAAAGAAAGAGAGGCAGAAACATAAGCAGGGGGATAAGCAGACTCCCTGCATGGAGCCTGATGAGGGACTCAATCCCAGGCCCCTGGGATCATGACCTGAGCCAAAGGCAGATACTCAAGCCACCCAGGTGCCCATGTATATTTTAAATTGACTTAATAAACCATGTGACATGTGCATCTTAATCTGGTTGGTGAGCCTTTCTGTGTGTTTCTCTCTCTGGAACAGGCTTCCTAGAAGTATATCTGGAGATTACCATGGCAGTGAGGTAATTTCCCAATGCACAAAGTCATCTTGTCACCTTAGACCAGGTCCAGTGTCCTTCCTCGACATTCTTTGAAAACATCTATCATAGCAGTTGGCTCTCCGTGTTACAAAATTGTTTTCATGTTTTATTTCTCATTAGAGTGACATCTTTGATGTCAGGGACTAAATCTTCTTACTCCAAGTACCTAATATAATTAGAGACGGATGCATTTTTATCAAAGAATAAATAAACGTGCTGTAATTAGTGCCAGTTGAACCCAGAATTCAGGTCTTCTGAATGCACCATTAGGCAGAACCAGAACCTTACAATATCTCAAGGTGTTGAATGGGGTAAGTGAGAATAAAATACATCACTTATAGCTAAGTCTTCACTGAGGTATCTCAGGTGGGGAAGGCAAAGGTACTGACCTTGGCTAACCACAGGGAAAAACACCAAGCTTGATATCCACTGCAGAGATCAAATAGAAAACAAGAAATGAGCTAGGATTTCGAAAATCTTACCAAGATCAAAAGCATTTTTCTCAGAGTAATGGTATCAGTGTCCCCCCCCCCCCCCAGAAGTCTTCCTGTCCACTACCATGAGAGGCAGGGATGACAACATCACCTTTACTCTAATTCTGGAGAGACCACATCTATTAGATGAACATTAACCTCAATTAAAAGTTTCATGGCCCTCCACCTAGTTCCTTACTTTTTGTTATGACTTCAGTGAGAGTGACAGGGAATTTGAAAATTAAATGCCTACACCAAGGGACAGGTAGCTACTTACAACAGTCTCTTTGAGCAGAAACTGAGGCAAATAATCTTGGTGCTTTTCTGCTTCCCGCTAAGTGCACTTCTTCCTGTCTCTTGTGATTTAAGCCTTTTCTCTGATCAGTGATCCCTACATCATAAGCCTCAGTCTTTTTCTTATAAGTCTTGGTCATTTGTTCTAGCTCCCTCTTTCACTCTCTTCACATTCTTTTTTTTTTTTTTCTCTTTTGATCTCCTCCTTATTTTCACTCTGTTCTTTCCTTGTCTTTTTCTCTTCTCTTTCCAGCTCTTTTGGTCCACTGTGCAGGTCCTCCAGCAGGGTCTCAGAGGATGTGATTAGGAATGCATCTGCAAGAAGACACAAATGCAAAGCAAAAACACTGAGTTCCAAATAAAGCAGGGATTCCCCATCCTGGTTGTCACTGGCACTCACCCAGAACTATAAAATTCTTTTAGAAAAGTATCAAGACATAATTCATTTTAGTGTATTTTAATTGACAAAGTAATCATATGGTCTGAAACCTTTTTTGAGAAGAAGTAATAAGAAAGAAGAAGGTGATTTCAAATTAGAGTGTGCATAATAATATGGGGCAAGGGTTGGGAGTATCTTAAAAATGTCCTATTTTTCCATATCTTTGAAAAATGATTTAGTTCTTAACCTATGATATGCATTAAAATATAATTGGCAAACCATAAAGCATAATTTCCATACATTTTTTTCATGTAAAGACATCCCAAATGCTGAAACCAAAAATTCAAACTTTCAAAGATATTTTGGAATAGTCACATATTTAAAAACAACAACAACAACAACAAAAAAAAAACAACCCTGTTTTTCATTGCCAAACATGGCTCTAAAATTGAAAAAGCAAAATTCTAGGTCACTCAGAGTTTTGTAAAAAATTCTGCTAATGTAAAATAAATATTTTCCCTTAAAATGGTAGTTTTTCAGTATATTTTCATAAACATTTTTCTTTTGTATTCTACAACAAAAAGAAAACATCTTCCAAAAAACCTAAGGTTTGAATGCCACCTCATGCATATTTTTTTAATTAATAAAGGTGGCACAGATCAAATAGGCATATGCAAAATGACAGTCACAGATTGTACAGCATTTTTGCTATTTTGTTAAGTTTTTTCCTTCTGTGAGGTTCTTTTAAAGCTAAGTTCTCTAGGAAATTGTGTCCTCTTGTGGTCACTGGCAAAAACAACATGTTTTGGGCAGGAAGAATCAATCAAAACAATGGAAATAGGATTTAAGGCTTCAGGAAAAGCCATTTGTGAAAAAAGGAAATCCCTTGAAGTGGAGAGACATGAAAGTTATGAGTAATCAGAAAAGCAACTTTATCTGGGAAAACACAAAATATAAACCATTAGATTAAGATTTAAATTGCTCAATGATGAAAAAGAAAAGATAAACATGCTTGGAAGTAGGAAGCCTGTGGTCATAATAAAGGCCTCTTATGAATAACTATATATTTCTTCCATTATTTCTTCACTTACTCCAGCAGCCCCCCGAAATAGTTGAGAGCATATTTCACCAAGGTTAACTGGAAGCAAAGATGGGACGTGGCCACTCTAGCCTGCATACCCAATAAGCCAATAGAGGTGTGTGTGGGGGGTGGGGGGGGGTGGGCGGGGAAGGTTCTTCAACGCTCCATTCTTTGCACACTTGGATTCCTCTCTACATCCAAGTTCAGCATGTTTCTTTACCTCATCCTCATTTTGAAGGCAGAATGTCAGATAGTTTAAAGATGAATTTATTTGAAATTTTGATTTGCTCATTCGAGGTACTCCTGGCAACTCAATTTCTTAAGCTTTATTCTTTTTCATTTTATTTCTGGATTGATAGTTTCACAATTTCTATTTTTGTTCCTTAAAGAAGTTCAGAAAGGGAAATACAGAATCAATTAAATTCATGAATTCAACTATCATTAAAAGAGAAAAAGAATGACCTCTTCTTTAGGGCAAGGTGTTCAAACATCATTAAGGCTGCCTGTGTGGCTGAGCAAGAATTCGCTTTTACACAGAGTTATCAAAGTCACTTGTGCTGACACAAACTTTATATTCCACTTTGATAAAATTCTCTTACTTGAATATCAAACTAGGCAATCCCTGTGGAGTGTTCAAAACAAGATGAAATCTAAGATGTATAATCTTACTCAACTGCAGCCTTTTCCAATTTGCGCCCTCTTCTGTGGGAATGCTCCTGTGCTTCATTCATGCAATTCAGAGAAATTATTTCACAAAACTCTAAGCCAACCTACAGGTGGGAGGTCATCCAAAGACTGAGAAGAAAGAGTAGGCACAGATTCAAATACTCACCTTTTTGTACAAACCCAACTCCAAAATTTACTCTCTTGCTAACAATTCTAGAGTATATGTAGGTTTCTTTTCCTTCTCTGAATGTACTTATAAAGGATTGTTGCTAAGAGAATATCACTGCATATATATTCAAACTGGAAGAATACAGATACATGCATAAGTTACTGCATATGCTCAGTATGAGATTCCTAACTTTGTTTCTTCTAACAGTATTTTTTTTTCAATTTTTAACACAGCACACATTCCTCAGGAAGGGCTGCGAACATGCCAAGTTTGCAGTTTTGAAAACAAAGCTCGTTTTGAATTATCCGAGTGCAAAAGAAAAACTTTTTTGTTTTCAGTTAATTTTTTTTTCAGGGAATTTATTTTAGAAGTAGACAAAATGATTTAATTCCAATCAATCCAGTATTCCCAAAGAAGGTAGTTCTCCACTACCGTCCTTTAAGTCAGGCTGAGTTCAGCCCCAAAGGGAAATTTCTAAAACTGTTTTTAAGAGCCTGAAATTAGGATTTTCAAACTAAGTCTGCTTTCCCAGCAAGTGTGGACAAGGAAATTGTTAGACAAAATGTTAGGTAGGATATACCTACTGATGAACAGAGAGGGACAATCCGGCCATGAAATATTTATGGTTTGCAAAGGAGGGGAGTATCAAGCCCCAAACATTTTGAGAGGTAATTCATTTGGCAAGCCACAGCCTTCTGCTCAAAAAGTAACAGGCTAGGCACTCAAAATCCCTCTCATTCTCACCCTGCACTCTTTTGGAAGAGTTCAAGAGAAATTTCTTCTCGGGACTAAAGTCATTCATTGTGACTCCGTCAGGAAGATTCCATGCTGTGATGGTTCTGGTTAGGTCATTCATTTTAAACCCCCTCTCATAAGTATTCCGGCATCCAGAGCAGAGCCTCAGCCTTGGGGATCCCTGGTACCCAGTGGCCAGGCGCTCCTCATCCCCTTTATGTTTATGTTTTAGTGCCCAGAATAGGGTTGGGTTCACTTGTTTAAGAACCAGTCTTGGAGATTGATGACTGTGCAAGTCCGGCTGGCTAATGATCCCTGGCTGCTGCGCTGCTGCGGACTTGGTTTCTCCTCCAGCTTCTCTGCCCTCGTTTTCATTCCCCAATCCCAACTCCCCTTGGTCAGGTAAGGTTTCCCTTTACACTTTGCCCACACTTTCCTGTCTTGCTTTACCCGTAGCCACAAAGGAAAAAGCCCAATTATTCGATCTCCTTAGTTTTAAGAATTCAACTAAAGGGAAAAGAAAAACAAAATTAAGAGATGAGATTGATCTTTAAAGAGAGAGAGAGAGAAAGTGTGGTAAAGGTGGAAAAATTTCAAGATTTCCGCAGCCACCTTCAAATAAATATCGTGGAATAATCGGCAACTTAGAACGCTTGGTAGAGTGTGGCTGAATTCTCTGCTTGCGAGAGATAAAATCCTAAAGGCAGAAGATGTAAACAAAAGGGTGAGTTATCACAGTGCGCTTTGTTTTAAGGATACCTGCCTGCAGACTGTTAAGTGAAGGTATCCTTAATTTTCAGACAGGATCTCATTTTAAAATACCGCAGCGACTCCCGAGGCAGGCCAGTTGGCATGCTGTGGTCATTGTTTCTGAATATTTGTGAAAATGGTGATAGCCAAATCCTGCAAGTCGCCCCTCCCATGAAAGCACAGCCTTGTTGCCCCCCCCCCCCGGGGGGGAGGGAGGGACGCCTCTTGCCCTCACTTCCCCCAGAAGTCTGAGCCCTTCAGCCAGTTCCAGGCACTCCAGACCCCCGGGGGTTTCCGGACTGAAACTGTGAGCCTCAGCGGGGCACAGCCACCTGGCCTGCCCTCTAGTCCCGGGGCGGGGTGGGGGGTGGTGGGGGGGGCCTTCCTCCTCCTCCTGACACCCACAGCCTCGACCCTCGGTCAGGCCCAGAATGGGGCCCTTCGCTGGGTTAATTCCCGTCTGACACTCCAGTCTGGGGACAGCGTGTGCCGACCTCGGCCTGCACAAGGGCACACAACCTCCACACCCCCAGACCAACCCCCCCCCCCGAAAACCGAATACGGTTCCTGACCTCTCGTTTGCTTTGCAACTTAACAGATGAACAAGAAACGGTTATTGTATCCCAACTCGTTCCAAAAGAGACACAGAGAGAGAAACAAGTATGGCATTGCAAGGATGGGCTTCTCAACCACGCGGCTTCCCTTCCAGCCCACCGACTTTTGTTGCCTCCTATTTGCCAGAATCTGCATCAACCCCCTCTGGGGGGCGGGGGGGGGCTAGTTATTGTTAACGTGTTAGATAGAATTGCTTAAAATAATAAAAGCACCCAGGAACTGGACCGCGCTTGGGTCACCCGAAGCATAACTGCCCACTCCACCTCCTAGGAATGAAGGGCGGAGAAGGTGCCTCTCACAACCGGCAGCTGCGCGGGTTCGCGGGGCGGGGGGGGGGGGGCTTGAACCCCATCTCGCTCTCTTACGAGCCTCCCTTTAGGGGTCACGATGTGGGGCTTTATGTGGGTGTACGGTAGGGATGACACGGCCACGGGGTCCTCCACCTTGGGCCGGCAGCTCAGGAGACGCGGGCCGCAGCGAAGACCCTGCACTGTCCCTCTCTGGCCCGCTGCTTTCTCCAAGGACAGGACTGACTTCCGAGAAAAGAACGAACTTCCTCTTTTTAGCCCCGTCGGAGGTGTAGTCTTTGGGGTGGTAGGCAGCTTTAGGCTCGGGTCGCTGTGGCGGGATAAAGGAAGGCCCAGATGCTTCGGCGGGGGGCGGGGGTGAGAGCAGGCCGGGGCACAGAGCCGCAGTCCCCGCAGTCGCGGCCACGTCTTCAAAAACCGCCCACGACCTCAGGGCCAGCCGCGGTGGTTTGGGCTTTGCAACTCGGGGTGTGGGGGTGGGCGGGTGGGCGGGTGGGGAGCCCCTCCGTCTACCTGGCTATGGGGAGGAGAGCTCCGCGGTTGCCAGTTTTCTTGCCACTGCCCCCGCCCCGGCCATCCCAAAGCGGCCCCCACGGACCTAGAGGGTACAGGGGCGAGACGAAGCATCACCCACTGCGTAGAAGCTGTGGCCGGAGCTGCCGCCGCTGTCACATCCACTCCGGGAGGGACTGACACCGCGGCCGAAAGGTCCCCTCCGGCCGCTTTCCGGGGCTGCGCTCGGGTGCGGGGGCGCGGCCCGCGCGCGCTCGGGCGCGGAAGGAAATCGCCCCGCGCCGGCCCGCGGAGGGCGGCGGGGCGGGGCGGGGCGGGCGAGGGGGAGGGGGAGGGGGAGGGCGGCGGGGAGGCGGGCAGAGGGGCCGGCCGCCGCAGCCAGGTCGGCTTTGAATGGTTTGGGAGAACGAATTGTTAGACCCCGCGGAAAGGGGGGTGGGGGTGGGGACGAGGAAGGGGGTGGAAGGGGAGGGGGGGGCGGCTGGAAAGCGGAAACTTTCCTATAAAACTTCGAAAAGTCCCTCCCCCCCACGTCAGGCCAATGACACCGCTGCCCCCGAACTCTCCGCCTGCACGGAGGTATAAGAGCCTCCGAGGCTGCAGCCTCCGTCCAACTCCCAGACACCTCGCGGGCTCGCCGGCACCGGCGGCGACTCCAAGAGGCCGGGCCGGGTGTGCGTGCGGCCGTTGGGCGCCGTCTTTTTGGACCTCGGGGCCATCCACACGTCCCCTCCCCCTCCCGCCTCCCTCCCCGCCTCCCCCGCGCGCCCTCCCCGCGGAGAGCCTCCCCGGCCCTCCTCCCGCCCCCTCCTCGGCGGCCGCACCGCCCGGGCCGGCGCCGCGCGCGGGGGAAGCTGGCGGGCTGAGGCTCCCCGCTGCCCTCCCTTTCCCGGGCCTGCGAGGCCGCGCGCTGCCACCTGAGAGATGATGCAGGACGTGTCCAGCTCGCCAGTCTCGCCGGCCGACGACAGCCTGAGCAACAGCGAGGAGGAGCCGGACCGGCAGCAGCCGCCGAGCGGCAAGCGCGGGGGGCGCAAGCGGCGCAGCAGCCGGCGCAGCGCGGGCGGCGGCGCGGGGCCCGGCGGGGCCGCGGGCGGGGGCGTCGGAGGCGGCGACGAGCCGGGCAGCCCGGCCCAGGGCAAGCGCGGCAAGAAATCTGCGGGCGGCGGCGGCGGCGGCGGCGGCGGCGCGGGCGGCGGCGGCGGCGGCGGCGGCGGCAGCAGCAGCGGCGGCGGGAGCCCGCAGTCGTACGAGGAGCTGCAGACGCAGCGGGTCATGGCCAACGTGCGGGAGCGCCAGCGCACGCAGTCGCTCAACGAGGCGTTCGCCGCGCTGCGGAAGATCATCCCCACGCTGCCCTCGGACAAGCTGAGCAAGATCCAGACCCTCAAGTTGGCGGCCAGGTACATCGACTTCCTCTACCAGGTCCTCCAGAGCGACGAGCTGGACTCCAAGATGGCAAGCTGCAGCTATGTGGCCCACGAGCGGCTCAGCTACGCCTTCTCGGTCTGGAGGATGGAGGGGGCCTGGTCCATGTCCGCGTCCCACTAGCAGGCGGAGCTCCCCACCCCCTCGGCAGGGCCGGAGACCTAGGTAAGGACCGGCGCGGGTCAGGTGGCGGGCGGTCAGACGCACGGCGGGGCCGCGGCTCCCGGCCCACCTGGCCTTCCTCAGCGCCCCCCTCCCCCAGGTCGTCCCCCGCCCCCCCCCCCCCATCAGCCTTCCCACCCAGCCTGGCACCGCCACCTCTTCCCCCGAGCGTCCCTGAAAGGCAGGTCGGTCCCCGCTAGGGTGAGGGGGATGCGCCCCGTGACGGGTGTGCTGCGTGTGCGTGAGTGTGCGTGTCGGACAGGAGGGAGGACTTGAGAAACACTCCAGGGTCGTGGGGAAGGACAAGTCTTGTTGCCAGCGCCTCCCTTTCTTCTGGCTCGAAGTTTTCGTTCTCCTTAAAACAAATGCTTCCAAATTCCACCTCCTCCTCCTTTCCGCCCACCCACTTCCTCTTGCCCTTGGGCTGAAATCCTTCCAGGTTGTTCAGCGTAATTTCTCAGTAGTGGTGATAAGAACAGTGCTCGCTAGTCTTAGAAAACAGCCACGAAGACCTAAACAATAACCAACTTTCCAACCCCCCCCCTTCTGGGTTTTTGCAGATGTCATTGTTTCCAGAGAAGGAGAAAATGGACAGTCTAGAGACTCTGGAGCTGGATAACTAAAAATAAATATATATGCCAAAGATTTTCTTGGAAATTAGAAGAGCAGAACCCAAATTCAAAGAAACAGGGCGTGGGGCGCACTTTTAAAAGAGAAAGCGAGACAGGCCCGTGGACAGTGATTCCCAGACGGGCAGCGGCACCATCCTCACACCTCTACATTCTGATAGAAGTCTGAACAGTTGTTTGTGTTCCTTTTTTTTTTTTTTGACGAAGAATGTTTTTATTTTTATTTTTTCATGCATGCATTCTCAAGAGGTCGTGCCAATCAGCCACTGAAAGGAAAGGCATCATTATGGACTTTCTCCATTTTAAAATGGTACCAACCAGAGGAATTTTAAGAACGTCTTTAGAAATAAAAATACGGGGATCTAACTGACTTGCAAAATCACAGTCAGTTAAACCCTCTTTACAGTCGTCCTCTGAGAGAGAGAAAAAAAACTTAAAATACAAAAAACAACATTCTATTTATTTATTGATGACCCATGGTAAAATGCAAATAGATCCGGTGTCTAAATGCATTCATATTTTTATGATTGTTTTGTAAATATCTTTGTATATTATTTTTCTGCAATAAATAAATATGATTGAAAATTTTAAGAACCTCAGAGTTTGGTCTATATTTTTTAAAGCTCAGGATTAAGTTGGAGGTAAATACCTGCTTGTTTAACTCTGGAGGCACCCAGGAGGGAGGGGGCACTAATATAAACAAAGCAGTGAAAAACGCAAATAAACTAGCTACTGACAGGCACAGGCGTGTTATTTAGAAAGACAGCTTTATTATTATTATTCCAGTTTGGTGTTCAGTGGACTTTGTAGCATCTCTCCTTCATCTCTTATCAGGCCCCCAAACAAGCAAAAACTTAGGAAATTTGTTATTCACTTCTCTTGCTTATATTTGAGGAGGCAGCTGTAAAACAGTTAAATGCAAATAGGCAATATGAAGCCAGGACTATTTTTCTCTCGTTACTGTATTTTTTGTTCTACCCTCCACTGTTTGTGAGGACTTTTAAGTAATAGCGTTCATTGCACTGAAAGGATGCCCAAAGTGTTACTAAAGTGATCTGTATCTGTACACTTAACAAATCAGTAGGAATGCGTAGAAAAGAATGAAGTTTAAATTCAGCAGGAGAGAGAATTCCACTTGCAAAGTAATTGGCCTCCCTCTTTTTGCATGAATGAAAATGATATTAATGTCATGTTTGCCGAAAAGAAAAGCCAAAGTTAAGCATATTTTTCCATGTTGATGTTATCCATTCGAGAAGCATGCTCCTTCTTTATATATAAAGAACATATAACTATGGAGTGAAATACAATAAACAAAACACCTGAACTTTCAGTAACTACTGGAGCACTTACGATTTTAAGTGCTAGAGCTTTCATTTTCCAGTCAGTTCTTTAGCAAATATATTTTATTCAAAATTACACAATTTTTCCCTGGTTACTTACAGGTATGCAAAATCTGAAGTTAAGTGAAACAGTAACAGTTAAACAAATGGGGCTTGATTTTTATTTAATTCTGGTTATTTCTGAGCCAGGAAAATACTGGCTTTTATAACTAACAACATTAGAAGTAGTAAGTTTGTATCGCTTAGGGCTTAACTTTTACATCTAGTTGACTGCATTCAGGTGTAACCCGGGAATTTTTCAAACTGGAAAATAATTTTGCTGTCTAATTGAAACAATAGGTATGGCAAACAAGTGTACACGAATCCAAACAGATCATGTTTGCCCAACTCAGATTGAGGTTATTATATTGCCTGAAGGTTTTGTTTCCTCCCCACACATCATCAGAGAATGCTGACATAACAATATTGTAAATTTACTATTCTCAATATCTTAGACCATGTTTTACGATAAGGAGCCTGTAGCATTTACGCACACTGAAAGATTAGTGAAGGCTTGGGGAATTAATTTTTGGATTTTGGTAGTCCTTTACCAAATAACTACATGAGCCGGGAAAGTGATTATGTGTGAGTGTACTTATAGGGTGTGGGTATATTTGTAGAATGTGTGTATGAGAGAGAGAGAGAGAGAGAGAGAGGTAGAAATGTAAGGAGGGTACCCTAAAAGGATGAGAGAGAGCATCAAGATGGTAATTCTCTCTTCTGTGTGTATGTATCATCCTACCACCTCCATTTTCTAAACTGTTCATGGAGGAATCTCCTTGTTCACTAGCTTGGTATAACTATTTGATATTTCAGATTTCTTGATGTACATCAGGATGGAGCTGACCGTCATTGCTGAGAAGGTAATCTCTATCTTATCTCTGATGATATAAAACCCAGGTGTTTCAAAAAAGGTAGCCTTTCATTTGGCTTTTTTATTATTTTTTTTAAAAAATTAGTGTTTTATTCTCTTTACTTTTCTGATAAGAGAAAACCTTTTGGAGAAAATCAAATGCCATATTTATGTTGCTAAACTGAAGGTAATATTTTCCCCTAGAATTTAGGGGAAATAAATGAATGAAAGAAAGGTAACAGATAGCTTTACTTTGAATGAGAATAATTCCTGGGGGAAAATATTAACTATTAGAATACAATTTTCAGTTTGCAAACTTTTTATATTCTCAATCTTCTCCCCCCATACACATGACAACGCAAATTCTTTTTTAGAATAGAAATAAAGCCACCTGTGTTTCTCTCGCTCTACCATTATTTCCTGTTTTCATTTTATTTTTTGCTACCTATCCTTATTTAATGGACACTTAGAATGAATTACCTCTGCTCCAGAAGTGAGAATTTAATGTGGTGGCTGGACAGGGGACTCTACTCTTTAGCCAGGAATGCATTTACTGGAAAGAAAATGCTGTATACAATTGCCTTGGGTGAATACTAAACAACTGAGTAAGAATGTTTCCTTCACTGTGCATATATATATACGTATATATATATATGCATATATATATTAAATCTTTTAATTTCGTTGGATTGATAGCCTTCAGTCATAAGCAGTAAATTTTTGTTTTCCTATGAGAACATTTCTGTATACACACACTTCCCTTCTTCGTGCACGCACTTGCTAATAAGCACATGCACAGATGATAGATAATTCATGCACGGTTGCAGGTACCCTCCCTAAACTGGTACATATGATTAATAAAATGAGGTTAAATAGCAGAAACTCACATACTGTGTGTACTTTTTTCCCACACTCAACAACGGCACAAGCTTTCTGCTGCTTCAGTCTTCAGGCTCATATTCATAATAGAGCTTTTTAAGGGACACTTGGCCTCTTGCAAAAAAGTCGAGCATTTTGCACATTCCACGGTTTGGCAAACTCAGAACTGGTTATTTTCTCTAGACCGGTATCAAGTTCTTCTCAGGCATATGATTTCACTTGAAGTCCTGCCCAGGAATCCTTCAAAGTGAGCGTTTGTCCCGCTCTCATGATGTCAGGCGGTTTTCCCTGCATCTGTAATTTGAAGAAAAACAAACAAACCTGCGGGGAACAAGCGCCACGGAAACCCAAACAGAACTCCGTGGGGAGCGGGAGTCTCACCTGCGGCGGGCCCGGGAGGGGGGCGCGGGCCCAGACTCCCCTGCGTGGGTGGCGGGCCGGTGCCACACGGTGGGGAGAGTGACAGTGTCCGTGCCCTTCTCCGACTGCGTGGACCGCTCCGGGCCGCGTCTGGCCGCTGCGCAGAGGCGGCGGTTCCAAGTGTCAGCGGTAGCAGAAGGAGCAGCAGCAACAGAGTCAGGCAAAGGCCCAACCTCAAATTTCCAGAGACGGGCCTGTATTAGCGACAAACGGGGGTCGGGCGGGGGATCCCCGGGGGCCACTTTTCCAGAATTTTCTGCCTGTGTGTCATAAAGCGTGCCCCACCCCCAGGACCAGCGAAAGTGGAAGGAAAGTGCACCGGCAAAGTGGAAGGAGAAATCCGTTACCTCATAATTTCTCAAAGCCGGCTATCCCACTCTTTTCCCAGGAAACCTCGAAACCGAGACCTCGGAAATGCAAACAGGATTATTAATTATCCTCATTTGCTGAACAGCAAACGATAGATCCAGTAAACAGGGCATGGGATACATTTGCCATTTGCTTTTGTCCCAGGGCCCCAGGACGTGAGCCCACTTAATGTTCTTAGCAAATCAAAGCACGTGTCCTTTGAAGAAGGTGTGTAATTGGAGTTTAAGGCATGTATGGAATTCCCAGATGTCTATAAAGTAAGAAGGAGCATGTGGCAGGTCACTGGAAGGTGGGGCAGGTTAAAATCACTGGCACAAAAGTCCCCCCCCCTTTACATTTCTCCTTCTTTATAAGGGCCAGGGAGATAAACCTTGGGGGAACGGATGGGACGGGATCATAATGAATATCCAGCTTCTCATATCAGAGTCATAGTAACCATGGTAAAAAAGCACATGGTCAGAAAACCTCAAAGAAAACACTCAATTATAGCCGGGATTTCGTGGGCGCCCTGCAATGAGATCGTTTGGGGTTTGCTGCAGCGAAGGCCTCCAACGGCTGTCTTTCTTGTTTACGTGGACTGTTTTCTTTTCCTTCCATCCTCCCCCCCAACCCCCCACCATCACCACCACCAAGTTTGTGGATGTGTCTTCGTACTTACGCGTGAACAAAATTCCAGATTAGGAAAAGAAAAAACATTTCCAAAGACATCCATCCCAAAGGCAGCCTTTTTGGGGGACTGGAGATGACGACGAGCAAGTGAAATTAAATTTCTGTAAAACATGCAGTTTAGACATCTACCAGATAGAGCGAACGTTCCATGAAAAGACAACCATCAGAATCAACAGCAAGCCCTCTTGTTTTCAGTTCACTGAGGAATATATATAGATGTACATGGGACTGTGCGCTCTAAGCTTGCAAGTTTGAATATTGCTTATTAGGCAGTTTTTGTTTTGTTTTGTTTTGGGTCTGAAGCCCGAACCAAAGGCAATGTGACTCTTCTCCTTGGGTTCAAGATGGTGCCCTCCTTTACCTGCACAGTGGAGCCCGAGGCGGAGACGCAGGGACGGGGTGTGCCCAAGAAGCTGGCCCCGGCAGAGGTTGGCGTGGGGGGGGGGGCGATGCGGGGTCGGAGGAGGCTGGGGGCCCGAGCGCGGGGGCTGGAACAAAGCGCGCCACAGACCCCGCCACTGAGGCTTGCGGGAGGGCGGGAAGGACCCACCGGGGCTGATGCGAGTGTGACAAGTGAAAAGCTAAGCAGGTACCTGAAGGAAGTTTATCTTGCCCAGATGTTAGGGCTTTTATGAAATGTCACGTGAAGAGAACAGATGTACGATTTGCAAATGGGGCCACGCCTGTAAATACAAGGAAGGCAAATGCTTGGAGGAAAATCCAGGCATAAATCATCAACCTCCTTTTCTAGATATCTATTTTCTCCTTTAAATATTTGCTTCCGGAAAGGGGAGACACGTCTTAAATCGTTAAGTGCCTCGTCCAGGAGAAGTCACACTCTTCCCCCTTCCAGCAGCCCCCCAATCCCCTAAGTGCCTTGGGTGCAGAGGGTTGGGGTGGCTGGCAGATTTCTACACCGCCCCCCTCGCGCGCTTTCCTTCTTGACGTTCCCCATCCCCCACGTTTCTGTCTTGGCCTCTCAGAGACTTTTGATCCTGAGAAACGTATCGGATCTCGGTTTGGAAAAGCTGAAACTAATCAATTGCCTTTTTGAAGGGGTAGAGAGTGATAAGAGCGAAGGAATGCCAGGACTGACAGACCCTAAACCTCCAAGATGCTTGGCTGGGCTGAAAGATGAGCGGGTGATCCCTCCCTGCTGGGGCCGGGACCCAGGCTCTGGGGATCTTTGTTGCCCATTGGGTAGGGCTTTTAAGAAATTAAATTATTAGTTTGATTGAGGATTTTTAAAAATCTCTTGTACAAATAAGAGTCCCCCCCCTTCCATGCAAGAAGGAAACTCGGTTCATAAAATTAAAATGAATTAGTAGTTGCCCAGTTGTGGAAGACAGTCCAATTCCTTTCTCTGTTCTTAAGAGAGAGATGTTCATAGAGGTTATTGTGAATATTAACGGTTGGCTCAGGCCTGGCTCTCTGTGCACAGTAGGGTTTTAAATATTTGTTGACAATATCTTTAAGACTGTACATTAAATGAAGGAACTGTTCTGTGGCTCTTCATTTAAATGCAACATTATTCCTAAGTGTTAAATTGATAATCGCCCGACTTAGAGTTATTTATATAGCTGCCCACACAGCTCTGTATTTAAAAAGAAATTTTTAAAGTTGGTGTATATTCTCCCACAATAGTAAGTCTAAATTTACTGTCGGATTTTATATTAATAGTCTTTGGGTTTCCAAAGAATTGAAAAAAGTTCAAAGTGATCACGTTAGCTTTAAGGGTGACAGTTTTAAAAATTCGCAAGACTGGATAAACAGACACATCTTTTCTCTCTATGGTATTTAATCTAAATACCCCTCCAGCCTTCCCTGAAGGAACTTAACCTTGATTTATTACCTTTGGCTACATATCATATCTGGTTATGGCCCCCAAAACGTCCTGGAGGAAGACCTCAGATCCTGCCCCTCTGGGTTTGCCCAGCCAAGATGGATGTTGGGTTGAACTCCAACACTCTGACTCTGATATGTGTTGCTTTCCTTTGGGGCTTCCAGACCTCTATTTCTAAATATACTACTGGACACAATAGTCCAGATTTCTCTTCCTCTTTTGTTTCTGAAACTTAACACCAATCAAGGAATTGTTACTATTCTTGAAAGCCAACATGCAGCAGAAAGAGAGGCAGTCAGCCTGCACGTTTAGCAATGATAATCCTTCAGAACCGGCTACTGATGCACCCCTACAACAGGGCTCCATTCCTAGGCAGAACCCTACCTTCCAGAGTAGCGTTCTTGAAAACGTTCTTATAAATCCCTCTTTCATCACCCCAGACAACTTGTGTTAGTCTCTTGCTAAGGTTGCCCCTTGCCTCATTCAACCCCTGCCTTCTCTTGCTACCCCCCATCCACACACACCTTTTAAAACTTTTAACTTTGTAACATATTAAAGAGACTTGGAGCAGAGAATCCTTCTTCCTCTTCCTTCTCTCCAGGCCTCGACTGAGTGAAACTTAAAACACATCTCATAGATCAGTTTTCCTTCTCTGAAGTTAGGCACAGTCCACGACCCGGATTTTCAAATAGCCCAGGCTGGAGTCTGCAATATTTAATCCAGTCAGCTATTAAATGTCCTCCGGCTAAATCAAGAGTCTAAGAATCCGTAGTGGGATAATGATACCAAGAGCAGTTTGGTAAAGGAAAGGGGGGCTGGGAGGGGGCACGGACTGCAGGGATCCTTTGATTTGGAAAATCCTGTTTTTAGAACTCCTGTCAGAGTAATAACAAAGCAAAGAAACATGAAAGAGCAGCTCTTTGTTCCAGGATATGGTTTTAATGAAATACTACTAACACACACATACACACACACACACACACTCATGGAAAGAGAGAGAGAGAGAGAGAGAGAGAGAGAGAGAGAGAGAGAGAGAGAGAGATCTACTATTAATAACCGCTTCTGAGACTCCGCTTTTCCTTTACCTATTAGGGACAAGCAGGCTGCGCAACGTGATCCCCTCTCCCCCTTTTCCGCTGCCTCCTTCCCTTCCTAGTTAAGCCAAAGTGATTGTTCTGATGAGTCCGGCCCCGCACAGGACCTCGAACTGACACTGCCCTCCGCATCCCGGCTCCACGTCCCTTCTCTGAGCAAAGCCAGCCCGCCTTGGGACTTGAGTACCAGGGCATTGCCTTCTCCTACCCAAGGCGGGCACCCTGCACTCTGCGAGCTAGTTAGTTCTCCTGGTCCCTGCCTGGAGGCCTTCTTAGGACCCCAACACATGTGGCACCAAAGGGAGAGCGTGCCCCAAATCTGACTGCCTTGGCTCCCAGCTGACCCTGCGCAGCACTTTTTTGTTGACTTAAAACATCCGGAGGGACTGCAACTAATACAGCGAACGGGGCTGGGGGGTAGGGGAGGAGAACGAAGAGGCAGGGGGTGGGGATCACCAGAGAAAAAGCAACAGCATTTGGGAAAGGGGGGTGGGGGGTGGGAATCAACCTTTTAGGCAGGGAGAACGAGGCATTTTAGCAGCCGCGTCTGTCATCTGTAACAGTGGACAGATAAAAACCGTCCCAGATCAAAGAGGTTCCTTCATAAATCACCCATAAGAAATGGATTGTGAGGAGTAAAAGACACGTGTCGAGTAATCTCAACCCAGGAGGCAGCTAGCTGCCAGCGCCGTTCCTAACGCCCCCTCTCGCGGTGCCCGCTTAGGGAGCGCGGCTCCCGGCAGGGGATGTACGTGGGGGGAGGTCTCTCCACGCTAGTACCCCCCCCCCACCGACCACCACCAGCCAAGCTCCTACCCTCCACCCCGCCGCCCCCTAGCTTCCGCTTTAGACGGCGGCTGGGCCATCCCCGCTCCAGACTTGAGATATTTCCATACAATCGGTTGACTCTGGATTGACCGAGGAAGTCGTGGTGAAAATCGGAGCGTTTTCGCATTTCTGATGCAAGAACGTTGCTGCCTCAGAATCGTAGACATCTACCCCTCGAGGTCCCCTCTTAGTGTCCTTGTCTCTCTGATGATCCCGCTTGAGAGAACTCGGAAATTTATAGTGTTACGGTGCGAATGTAACTCAGCCCGGAGAGGGAGTTCGGCGAGAGCAGAAATTGCCTGGGCGGGTGTTTTCTGTTCGGAGTTTTCGAAGTTTCGGATGAACAGTGCTTTTGCACTGAGGGTTGCCGCACTAGCGTAATCTGTAAGGAGCACTTGCTGCACCTAAACCAGGACCAAGTGAATTCTCTTTCTCCGCCTCCCACCTGCCCAGCTCCGGACTCTCTTGCACCTGCTTCTCTTGATTGGAAAAAAAAAAAAAAAAAAAAAAGCAAAAGCGAATGTCCAGTCTCGCGTTCTAAACTCTCCAGCCAGCTGTTCTTAGGACCCCAGAAACGCGTATTGGGCGAGTTTAGAAATGTTGTGGTTGGCCATCCCCAGGAAAGCAGTTGACAAATCTAAGACAAGATAGAGCTTGTGAATTTGTGCGGGGGGATTTACAGCGACAAATGCCTCCTACTCCTTCCTTCTCTCTCAGTTTTAGCATCCTCCAGATAAGTAGGATTTTGCTTATAATAGGTGTTTATGGTTCAGGAATTGCACTTTGATCTAGGATTTTGGGGGTGGAGTGTCTAAGGGGTCTCTAGACGCTTGTCTGATTTGAATGCTTTTCAGGATGATTTATGGCAAAAGGCTCCTTTCTGACACTTCCAGATGCCAAAGCTCTTACCTTCCAGGAAGGGGTGAGGGAAACCTGCTTCCAACAGCCGCGACCGTGGGAGCCGGAGCGCCTACCGCGCCACCCTGCGGGTCACCTTAAACTGACAGTATGCACCACCAGCCTCCTTCTGCAGCCGCTGATGACTTTTCCCCGCCTTCCGACTAAGGAGGAGGGAGAGACCTTCTCTTTTTGATGACCAAGCTACGGAGGGAAACCAAGTCACCGCTGTAAAATTAGCCTCTTGCAGTTAACTCTGTTTTATGTAATTAACCACCTGCTCCCGCCCTGTTGGTGGTTTGGTGTTAATGCGATTTGACCCCCAAATGTGAAGCGGGGCGGGAATCAGCCCTCCGCTGGGACTCCGGGTGGTTTCACCCGCCGGCCTAAGCCCCTGGCCGAGGCCGCGCGGATCGCTGTCCGGGTTCCGGCGGGGCGGAGGCCGGGGCAGAGCTCAGAAGCTGCGGGGGCGTCGGGGCGGGGTGGGGGCGGCGGCGGGGGTGGGGGCGCCGTCTTTCCGAGAGCTCCCCGCAGTCTCAGGACGATGAGCCGAGGCCAGGAAAAATAGCCCTCCCGACTCAATTACTCCGAGCTCCACCGTGGAGCTGAAAAGCTGAAATGTGCGCCGCTGCAGGGGGGCAGGTCAGACAGGGCGGACGCTGTAGCGATTTGGGGGGACCCCCGGGGCCCGCGGAGCTGGGAACGCGCTGAAGACATTTGTCAGCCTGAAGCTAAAGGTGGGCCCGACC